TTCTTGGTAAAGGGGGCAGCTCCTCTTGGCTGGTTATTAGGGCTGCTCCAGAAGACTCAGACAGCATTTCCTGGTCAGGAAAAGGACGTCCTATTTATCCACTGGGCTGCATAACAAAATGCCATTCTCCACTTTGTTCTGGACGACCGGGCATGGAGGAACGCAGTCAGCTTGAGCAGTTATTATTTTGGTTGTTGTCTTTGATGTGCCAAAGAAATGATGACATAGAATCCCGGAGCCTGGCTCAGGAGCCAAAAGCTTGTTAGTGATTAGAGAGGGGATAATGGCCCTGTGGAGTTTCCCATTGTGTGTGTAGAGCTCAGAGCTGCTGACTCTATATCCTGGAGCTTTGAGGACAGCTCAGGCCCCCCAGAGCTGCACCCCTGGGAGCTGGTTGTGTGGAAAGGGCCAGAAGCAGCTGGGCCCACCTCTCACCAGGGTCTGAGTTGAGTTGTCCAGCAGGAAAGCTCCTCCTGCAGAGCAGTCTCCTGTGCGTCTCCATAACACGAGTGGAGACCTGGTGTTTTCTCCTTCCAGGTCACTATCCTACCAGACCTGGGGTTGCAGACTGTCAGGCCCCAGACATACTGTGTTGGGCCCTCATGGTATTCTCAATTTGTAGTTGTTGCCAACTTTTGAAAATTAGTGGGTTTCACATAAAAATACGGATTTCTGGATTCTGTTTAAAAAAAATTGGAAAATCTAGCAACGCTAGGTCTGCATTTCCACAGTTGGCTGGAGTCACAAAACCATAGCCATCTTGGACTGAGCGCAGCCTCTGCAGTTCCCCGCTGTTCCTACCACTCCCTGAGGCCCCCACACTCAGCCAAGGCACCGAGTCTTTCACCCAATAGGCAGCAGAGTGATGTGGCTGGAAGTGTGGGTTTTGCAGTCAGACCATCTCCATTCAGATCCTGGCTTCACCCTCCTGAGCAATGTGGTCTTGGAAAAATTACCTAATCTCTTGGTGCCTCAACTGTCTACTTCTGTATAGTGGAGATAATATACAGCCTACCTCATAGGGCAAATGCGTGGACTAAATAAGATTAAATTAGAGTCATACGTGGTAAGCACTTGATAACTGTTAGGTGTGGTTGTTATTACTAGAGTGCTTCCCTTCACTCACATTACCTGCCTAGCTTCTACAGGCATTTGCGATTATCCCCTCATCTCTAGAATCTGGTGTCCTCATCTTTTTATTGGCGGCCATCCCAGTGCCTGGCACACAGCAGATGTGCCCAGCAAGCATGTGTTGGGTGGCTGAATGAATGAGTTAAGAACATTGTGAGAGTGGGGGAGTATTCAGTATAGCTGAATGGTTTGGGGCAAGAGCTTGGCTGCTCCCAAAGCCCTACTCGGCCCTGATTAGTTCTCTAGCTTCTGTGCACCTCAGTTTCCTTACCTGTAAAGTGGGGATGATAATGGTGTCTGCCACATAGGGTGGGAAAAGACTGTATAAATAATTCGGCTTAGTCTGCACAGGTGGTCCTTGGCGAAGTGGGAGTTATCTTTTGACAGCCGTTCCTTCTTGCGGTGCTAACACCACTTTTTCCTTCTCCGTCCTTGCTCTCCTGGCTTTCTCCTTGTTCTGCTGCATGAAGAGAGTTTCACTCCGGAGACTGTAGCAGTCAGGAAGCTTTCAGTTGCAGGTAATAGGTAGTTCCCATTCACCTGGCTTAAGCGGTAAAGGGGAGATGTGGCCAGGGAAAAGGGAAAAGCCCAGAGGTAGAGCAGACACTGGCTCTCTCTTCTCTGTGATTTTATTGGCTCTGCCATCCTCTGTGAGTGGGTTTTAGTCTTAGGCTGGGTCCCCTTATGGTTATAAGATGGTCGTAAACGCTCAACCTGGGTCGCTTACCTGTGCCTGAACCAGTTGTGGGATCAATGCTGACTGGCTTAGGAGCTAGCCCTGGAGTTGGAGCTGAGGTCTTGACCTGTCAAACTGCAGGTAGTGGGTGGGAGACCTGCAGCTCCTTTCTGAGCTGTGGGAGCTGAGACGTGCTTGTGATGCTTTGTAGGCTGCTGGCTCCTGCCAGCTAGGACCCCACACAGATCAGCAGAAACACCTGGGGCGGGCGCTTTGCAGTAAGCGGTGCACCTTGGATCACATGTTGTTGATGCCAAATATAGGATCGGGGAGGTTGGCATTAGTGAGAGTCACACCTCAGTAGAGCTGGGAGGTCAGGTCAGTCTCCTGAGACCAGGGAACAACACTCTGTCCCTGGGAGAACCAGCAACCATTCTTGTGTGTGTGCACGTGTGTGTATGTGCTCCCATGGCCCCTGAGGCTCCGGAGCAGGCATCGATTGCCCCCGGTCCGTGCCCCTGGAGTGACAGAGTGCACCTAGGCAACAACTTGGGCACAAGGACCTCCCTGTACTCCACACACTTCTCCAGAGAGAGCCCAGCTATGTGAGTGAAGGCAAGCAGGGCTGGCTGAGCATGGGTAGGTGGGCTTTGGTGAGATCCCCAAGTGCTGCTCTTGGCCTTTGGAGCCTGGGATTATAAGAGAGTCAGGGAAACTCAGGAAGAGGATGGCCTCTGTTTCTGTGCGAGTACTCTGTCTGTGCGCGTGTGTGGTTTCCAGACACAGCTGACTGGGTGGGTTTTGGCGGCAGACTACAGGATGTTGGATTGCATCCTGATTGTGTCACTCTTGGAAGAAGAGGATGAATAAACACATAGCCTTCTCTGCAAGCACAGCACGCCTTAAATTTTGGAGATTTTCAGTCTCGCCTGAAAGGAAAAAAACTCTAGACTAGCTGTTCTGTCCTCCATTTGATCCTCAAGCTGCCACAAGCAGGTGGAGCAGAGACCAAATAATGAAACTCTGTGTAAGGTGGGCAGATGCCCCCGATGCTGTGGCAGTTGAAGACAGTGTTCTGTGATTTATAAATGGTAGTGTTGTGTGTTGGGCACAGTGGTGGAAGGGTGGGAAGAATGGGAAACCTGTCCTTCCCCTGTCCCCGCCTGCAGCCCACTTCAAGGAGCTTATGGAGGAGTTGGAGAATCACAGTGCATATGAAAAGGACAGATAGTAGTGCAAGAGAATGGGGTCACAGCCAAGTGAGGAGCCTGAAATGTAAGTACTTAGGGCTCAGCCCAGAGCAGGTGCCAGGGAAAAGGCAGAGTGATCTCTGGAGCCCAGGGAAGGGGCCAAGTTTGAAAAGTGCACTCACAGGTAGCCAGCCAGGCAGGAACTGAGCCTGTGAGAAAGACCTCACAGTGAAGGGCCTGGAACACCATGCTAGGGGGTGTGGACCTGACCCAGCACATCCTATGCTCCATTTACTGGTTTTGATGTGGGCACCAGTGAGAGGAAGCTGCCTTTGGGGACTTTTTTTATTATGTTTGCAGCCCTGGGGGGACCTGGACTTTATTGGAAAGGTTGTGACATAATCCTCTGGGGATAGGGGACAGGGAGAAGCTTTAAGAGCAAGGAGGATCATTGGAGAGAACAGGTTTAGAGGTAACTCTGACTTGTTCAAGGAGATAGTACAACTGCCCAGAGAGGCCATGTGGGGTCTCGGCTGCACACATGCACTTGGGAGACTTTGTTGCCGGGTTGCAGTGACAGAGCTGGGGGAGAGGGCCTGGGGGAGGGGCACATGGGCACGGTGAATGAAGAAGAGAGGGTTGATTTGAGTACCAGGTGCTCTAGCTGGGAGGAAAGCATGGTTAGAAAGTTTAGGCTGAGGCAACAGGTCAGGGGGTGCGCGGATGCTCAGGAGATCCCTGTGCTGGAGGCTGGGATCCAGGGCCCTGCTGTCTGGTCCCCAGCCCCCTCTGCCCACTGTGCCTATGTCCACATTGGCATAAAGGCTGCCACTGTCCTAATCTGTGCCCCTGGGGCTGTCTTCAGTTGGTCCTGGAGCTGTGGGCTGGATGGCAGGATAAGACCCAGACCTCCTGCCCTGCCCTGTCCTGTCCTTGCTCTGTCTAGCTGGCAGTCAGGGCAGAGGGGCTCGGGAATGGCGGAGGCATGTTTCTGCCCCACACAGAGCTCTCTGGGGCCTGCCCTCGGGAGGGGCCAAACCCAGGGAGGCTGAGCCTGGGAACCTTCCCTTGGAAGACAGTATTCCACCCCCTTCCCAAGGAAGCAGAGCCTCCGTCCACACAGATTGGAGTTCGACCTTGACCCTCTGCTTTGGGTCCTGGTGGGTTCTTTTTATAGCTCTGTGGGCCAGCTTAGTGGCCCCTGCTTGCTCAGGACTGCTGCCTGCGTTGCTGGGCAGGCCTCCACATTCTCCTCCAGAATCCTCTGTCTAAGCAACTAGGACTGGGTAGGGCTGGGAGGGTGGTGCAAGCCAGAGCCTGGGAATCCCATGAGAATAAATACCGCTGAGGCAAGAGGAGGCCTCAGAGTCACCATGCCCCAGAGACCGGTCTGGAGACCCAGTGGTGGGTCCAAGTGAGCACTGGCCCCTTAGGTAGGCCCATGTGTGCATTTCACAATTGGGTGTGTGAGGAGCAAGGGATGCCCATGGAGGGCTGTGAGCCCAGCCTGATGGGGGAGGCCCCCCAACAGTGCAATTGTGAGAGTTTCAGGCCAGACCTGCCTTTGCTTGAGTCCTGCTTCCATAGGAGAGGCCACAAGAACACATAAACCCTCCAATCTTGGCCTTTTGAAATACTTTGAGACCCAGGGACCATCTGGGGCCTCCCGGGCAGGGGGGCAGGTGAGCCCTCAGGGTAGCAGCCCTAGGTCTTGGGACCATCTGCCAGGTGATGCCTCAGGCCCAGGCATCCCTGGTCAGTCCAGGAGGAGTAGACCCAGAGGCCAAAGGCCGTTTCCCAGATGAATTCATGAGCCCTGAGGCCCTTGGGCTCCTTCTGTGGAAACTTGGCCTGAGGTTGGGGTTCTGGTGCACTTAACAGTGTGGCTGAGATATACTGATGGTTCAGACAAGGTTGGGGGTGACTGACTCAGCTTTGGCCTCCCCGCTACTCGGTCCCTTTTCCCCAGTGGGCTCACTGCCTTCTCTGTTCTCTCTTGGCAGAACGCAGAGCCGGAGCCCCGGAGCCTCTCCCTGGGCGGCCATGTGGGCTTTGACAGCCTCCCCGACCAGCTGGTCAGCAAGTCAGTCACTCAGGGCTTCAGCTTCAACATCCTGTGTGTGGGTGAGTGTCATGGCCTGACCAGGGGGCATCCTCAGACCAAGGATGGACAAGGACCTTCTGGGAGATGGGACACTGCTGCCCTGACCACCTGCTGAGCTGCAAGGGACCCCCACCCCACCCCAGGCAGAGTGACACTGGGGGCTGGTCAGGGTGAGGCTTTGGTGGGTGTCTCTGCCAGGGTCAAGGACAGAGTGGGAGCCAGGGCCCAACTCAGTGGTGCCATGAAGAGGAAACAGGATTAGGCGCATGAAAGTATTTTGTAAACTCAGTGTTTGTAACAGTGGTTTAGATTCATTTGTTTGCTTGTTCAAAAAACACTTACTGTTGTTCCCAATGTGTCAAAGACACTGTAGTAAACCAGATTCTCCCTCCATTACAGTATCATGTGGAAAGAGCTCCAGTGCACATCTGAACAAATACAACAAAGAGCCCCGCCAGACCCTCCACAGGTGCCCAGGCCCTGGCATCTGCCAGGAAAGCAGCCTTTCCTGAACAACTCCCACTCCCAATTAAAGCTACATCGGCCTGGGGCCACCCAGGACAGGTGGGCTGAACCACTGATGGCTTCAGACCCTGGCCCTACTGGCCCCATGACCATCCTGGGCCCAGGAGGGATGGCATGGAAAGCAGGTGACTGTGTTCCACTGAGGCCAGCAGAGGTGTCCATTGGTGCCTCACAGTTACCTGGCTCTGCCTCTTCCCTACACCCATGTCTCATGTCCAAGTCAGCCTTTTGGCTCTTGTGTCCACATATTATTTCTGAGGCTACTGAGAAGGAATGGTTCCTGAGGACAAGGACAGTGAGGGATGGAGTGGGAGGCCTGCTCCTCTCTCTTGTATGGAGGCTCAGGGTGCCTGAGCCCCACCTGGCCTAGCTGACAGCCAGGGACAGTCCCAGTTCCAGCCTTTGACATCCCCTCCCCTGACAACCTGTTCTCCCAGGGGAGACTGGCATTGGCAAGTCCACACTGATGAACACGCTCTTCAACACGACCTTCGAGACAGAGGAAGCCAGTCACCATGAGGAGTGTGTGCGCCTGCGGCCCCAGACCTATGACCTCCAGGAGAGCAACGTGCAGCTCAAGCTGACCATTGTGGACGCTGTGGGCTTCGGGGATCAGATCAATAAGGATGAGAGGCAAGAGGCGGGAAGGGCAGTCTCTTCCCCATCCCACCCACATTTCCCAAGGTTCTAACACCCTGCCCTAGCACTCTGCCCTCCTCGCTGCTCCCCCCGATGGGGAACCAAGCTGTGTTCCATGAGGGCCAGAGGAGGGCTGCTTGGGGGGCCAGGAGAAAGGGTCAGCCTCCTGGACTCAGACAGAGATCCCTGGATAGAAGTTGTTTGTTCCTCCAGATGAAGGCTGGTGGGCATCCCGGCTTGGCTCCGGCCCTGCCCTGTGTCTCCACTGCCTGCCTCCAGGTGACAGAGCTATCTGTAGTTACAGGCCCATCGTCGACTACATTGACGCACAGTTTGAAAACTACCTGCAGGAAGAGCTGAAGATCCGCCGCTCGCTCTTCGACTACCACGACACAAGGATCCATGTCTGCCTCTACTTCATCACACCCACGGGGCACTCCCTCAAGTCCCTGGACCTCGTGACCATGAAAAAACTGGACAGCAAGGTCTAGCCCCCCTCCAGCTGGTTCTGAGGGCTCCCCGGTCCTACACGGAGGTGGAGTGTGGCGGCTGCAGTGTGACTGTCCACTGTGGTCGTCAGGGGCTCTACTAGTTGTGGGCCTGTGGACTGCCCCCTGGCTTGGTCCTCTCTGTATTTTCTCTTGCACCTGTCACTACAGCTCCAGTTGGCCCCAACTGCTCTGGGCTCTTTCTCCAGGGCTCCGTCCCTTGTCTGGCCCTGAGCCTTTTCCTTCCAGCTGCATTGATTCTTATTCTCAGTCTGCCAACTCCTGGCCTTCTCCCCATCCCCCTAGAGTTACCTCCCCACCTCACCCCTGTTCTTCTGACCCTCTGACCACCTCCTCAGAGCGTCCCAATTCTCTGCTCGCTTTATCTCTCCAATTCCTAGTTCCTCTGCTTCTTTCACTTACTCTGTCCTTCCTCTGTGGCTTTCCCTTGGGTTCCTCCTGAGCCCAGTAGAGAGGGGAGTGTTAAGGCCCAGAATTAGAGTAGGAATGAGGTATTAAGAGGGCAGCTTCATGGGACAACAGGAATGGCTTGAGGTCCTGGAGGGCGTACAGCCCCACAGTCACCTGTCAGCTCTCATGTGACTGTGCTGTCCATCCCAGGGGTTAATGTTCACTGTGGAGAATGGGTTAACCTTCACCTGGGAGATTGAGGTCTTCCTTTGGCTACTGCTAATAGGTCATCTTACTTGCTTAGTGGCGAGCTCAGCCCCCTGCTGCTGCTTCTGTCAGGCCCCATGCCGGTTAAGACCTTCAGAGCACTCTGGGCCAAAGCTGAGTATGCCCAGGGAACTAATTTCAGGCTGGGTGGAGGGTTGGGGGAGTCAGGGCTATAAGAAGCACTGCAGCTGATTGTTTCCACGCATCAGAATGACCCCAGCCAGCTGGGTTCAGGCTGGGACTCCCTCGGGAGCAATTCTATCTCTCTGGCTTCCTGCCCCTCTGCCCAGGTATGGCCTGGGCAGGGCTGTCCACTATCAGGAAGCAACTGACATGCTGCCCCCTGTCTCTGATCCTGGCAGGTGAACATTATTCCCATCATTGCCAAAGCTGACACCATCTCCAAGAGTGAGCTCCACAAGTTCAAGATCAAGATCATGGGCGAGCTGGTCAGCAATGGGGTCCAGATCTACCAGTTTCCCACTGACGATGAGGCTGTTGCAGAGATTAACGCGGTCATGAATGTGAGCGTTGGGCAAGGGCCTCAGGGCTCGGGCCAGCAGGCTTGGAGCCAGCACAGATCTCTGACTCAGCCCCAGGCGATTCTTGTTCCCCTGCATTCCAGCCTTAGCTCTCCAGGAAGGACGGGTGGGCATCTGGGCGCTGGCCAGTCCTGCATCCTGTGGACAGGGAATGGGAGGAATTGGATATCGGGCTGGTACTGGGGCTTCCCCAGGTTTAAGTTTCACAAGATACGAACTCAGGGAGGAGACCTGAAACCTGCAGGAGTGAGCTGGTGGGATGGCAGGGCTTGGAAGAGAGTCAGGCCCACAGGTCCTTTAAGGGAGCTTCTAGTGGCCCCTAGGAAGCCCAAGGGCTGCAAGAACACCCTGGAACACAAGGAAAGGGGATGGGGGTTCAGCCCACTCCCCTGTTTGGAGGTTCCAGGATATTTTTCTGAAGGGCTGGAAAGCCAGGTTCAGGTCTGGGCAGCCCCTTTCTGGAGCCCAGGGGCATGAAGGGTGGGTCTGCCCATTAGCCTGTGTCAGCTCAGGGCTCACGCACGTTTGGGCCCCTTTCCAGGCACACCTACCCTTTGCCGTGGTGGGCAGCACCGAGGAAGTGAAGGTGGGAAACAAGCTGGTGCGAGCGCGGCAGTACCCTTGGGGAGTGGTACAGGGTGAGTGTGGTGGCCAGAGCACATCCCTAGCTGGGGGCCCGGACTTGGTCCGCTATCCTGTGTCTTCCCCGTGACCATTTGTTATCTGTGCTCCCTCGGGAGTCTGCCTCTACCCTCTAACCACTGTCCTATGCCCTGTCCTCCCTGTGCTGTCTACCTGTGTATCTGCCTGATGTCTGCGTGCTCTCTGTTTTCAGTGGAGAACGAGAATCACTGCGACTTCGTGAAGCTGCGGGAAATGCTGATCCGTGTGAACATGGAGGACCTCCGTGAGCAGACGCACAGTCGGCACTATGAGCTCTACCGGCGCTGCAAACTGGAGGAGATGGGCTTCCAGGACAGCGATGGTGACAGCCAGCCCTTCAGGTGACAGCTTGTCTCCATAGCCCCAGCCAGACTTGCCATGCTGGCATCCATTCCGGGAGCTTGCGAGCCAGGGAGAGAGGCCTTCGGGACCCCAGAACCCCAGACTCTGTGCTCATGTGACTGCTTCTCTGGCTCTGCCCACCCCATCCCACCATAATCTCCCTCTTGGCCTCTTTTGTCTGCACCTCCACAGTCTCCAGGAGACATATGAGGCCAAGAGGAAGGAGTTCCTGAGCGAGCTGCAGAGGAAGGAGGAGGAGATGAGGCAGATGTTCGTCAACAAAGTGAAGGAGACAGAGCTGGAGTTGAAGGAGAAGGAGCGAGAGGTATGTGCTGGGTGTGGGGGTTGTGGCGTGGCCAGGGCGGGGCCAGTGCAGTCAGGCGAGTGGGGCCCAGGTCTTTCCCAGCCTGCGCGAAGCCCGGCCTCCCCACCTTGTGCTCCCAGCTCCACGAGAAGTTCGAGCACCTCAAGCGGGTCCACCAGGAGGAGAAGCGCAAGGTGGAAGAGAAGCGCCGGGAGCTGGAGGAGGAGACCAACGCCTTCAACCGCAGGAAGGCCGCGGTGGAGGCCCTGCAGTCTCAGGCCCTGCACGCCACCTCGCAGCAGCCTCTGAGGAAGGACAAGGACAAGAAGAAGTAGGTGGTGGCGCCCCGCCCTGCGCTGGCTCGCTCACTCTCGCTCACTCTCGCTGGTTCACCACTTTACTCTTGCCTTTCACTTGCTCTCCACCTCGTTCTTGCTCACCTCTCTTTCTTTCACTATGATCTTCACATCTTGAGATGTTAAGCACTTGTTCACACTCTTGTATTTGTGCGTGAGCGGCCCCTCTCCCATCCCACACCCTGCTTCTCTCTCTCTTTCTCACTCTCTCTCTCCTGCAACCTCCTCAAGAGCTGGGTGGAGAAGGCTGGGCCACACAGGCAGGAGTGGCCCCTGAAAGGGTATAAGGTCTCAGGGAAAGTCTTTCAGTCCAGGAGAAGGTCAGGGCCTGGGAATGTCAGCATTTCTGGACAGATTCCAGAAGCTCTGTGGTTTCTGCTTGGTCAGCCATGGTGCATCCCCCTCAGTCCTGAGGCCGTGGACTTGGGCCCCATACTGGTAGGCAAGTAGTGGCTGAGCACAGTGGCGACTTGAGCCCAGCCAGCACTGGCTCCCTGGGCACTATAATCGTGACCTGGCTGAAGGAAGGACAGCAGCTCCATGCAGGGGCTCTGTGAGTCCTGCTGGAGAGAGGGGCTGCCCCTCAAGTAGAGGCTGGAGTTGTTCCTGCAAGAGTAGCCCCGGAGGGGAGAGAATGATGGGGGATGGAAGGGAGGCTTTCCCTAGCCTCCGGGAGTGCAGTCAACTTACTGGCCAGATGGAGGCTGCTCTAAGTCCCTTCTCCTTGGCGCTTTTCATAGCCTATTTCCACACTCACAGCTGGAGTCCAGATGCCCTGGCTCCTGGGGCTCTCCCACCCCAAACTCACTTCTTTCAGTGCCCCACACCACATCACACTATGGAGATCTCGTCCGTTCCCACTTCTCCCTGCCCCTGGCCTGTGTCAGGTACCCTCCTTCTCTTGCTAACCTAACAACTAAGCAGGTGTACCCATCTTGGTCCTCATTCTTGTTCTTCCAGGAATCCCATTTCCTCCTGGAATATGTGGGAACGTGTGTGTCCAGGCCCTTCCTTCCTTGGTAGCAGTGGAGCCTTGTAGTTAAGGCCATGTAGTACAAAACTAGCTGTGGCCCTGGGATGCTGCTTGTGGCATTAGCACTTCCTCTGTCCCCCAATCTTGCATTCCCTAACACACACACACACACACACACACACACACACACACACACACACACACCCATGACACACTATCTTTCTCTCTCCTGCCCCATCACATACACAGACTCAGGCACATATCTACCAACACACACCGTCCCCAAGACACATCTAAGGAAAAGAAACTTACAGAGCTTCTCCCTGGGGGAGATCAGGGGGACAAGGCAGGCATTTAGGAATTGGATGTTAGTTCTCATTCCTAAGGCCTGTCTTCTGCTCTGGGACAGACCTTCCTCCTTTCTGTAGTTTCTCCCATCCTCTTGACTGGTGGCTCCAACTCAGCTGCTGGTACTGCTGGGATAGATAAGCCCCTGCTTGTCCCCAAGGAGGACCCAGCCCCACACTGCTCTCAGCCATATGAATTTCCCTTCTGCTTTGCATTTGCTTCCAGCCCTGGTCCCATGTCTAGCTCTTGGTGAGCTTGGTGAGCTTGGTGAGCATGGGGGCTCTGTGAGTTGGAACTTGCATGGATTTCAAGCTAGTGGCTCAGAAATCTGGTTTCTCCTGAAAGGGGGTATGTGGGTCTGTGACCCAGGTGCTGGCACCAGAAGAGACTTTGCCTTGCTCCCTGCTAGTTTAGCCTAGGCCGTCTCATTTAAAAAAAGAAAGAAAGAAAAGGCATGCAAAGTCCCCTAGGAAATAAGCTATGGAGAAACCGCTCAAAGACTGAAGACAAGAATGTGTGGCCAGGTCGGGGTATGAGGGCTGGTGGGCTGGGGTGCAGGCTGGCTGCAGAGGCACCAGCGCAGTTCAGGGTGGGGCTCGTCACTGGTGTCAGATCTCCCTGCTTTTTTCATGTGACCTGGACCTGGGAAACAGGTCTTTTCTGTTTGCTGGACATTCCAGAAAGCTTCAGTCAGTTTGGCCTCTGGAAGAGAGCCCTCTGTTCCCATGTTGGCTTTGTGGAGACCAAGCGTAGGGTAGGTGGGGTGGCTGGGATCACTCCTTCCTCCTGCCCTGGTCAGAGGAATGACATGAGTCAGGAGTGCAGCTGGGGGGGCATTTTTGGTGACCATTTAGTTGAATGGCTTTGATTGGTTGTATTCTTCAAATTGTAATCCATTTTTGCAAAATTACTTTCCAGTCAGATCTTGACCCTCAGCCTGGGATGCCATAAACTGAAGCGAGTTCTCTGCTTTGCTCGTCACAAACGCCAAACTGACTGCCCTTTCCCAGTGTCTATCTTGCTGTCTTTTGCTTCTGTTTGATTTGGTTGTCTGCGTATCTTTTAATGTGTCTGTTTTTGTTCTGTTTTTTTTTATTTTTATTTTTCAGTTAACGCACGCACAGACTTACATGTCAAGAGCGGATTTTAGACTTTCATGTGTTAAGTTGCTTGAGTTACACCTTCTCCCATAACATGGTGTGAGGACGGACTGGGAGCCGGTACAGACTCCAGTGTTTACAGCCTTGCTTTGTTCCCCAACCCCAACCGCCCCAGGCTGCCCTGGCCTGGCGGGCCACCCTCTCTATGCAAACTCGTCAAAGCCATGAATGCTGGAATCCAAAACTGATGAGGTTTATTTTTTTCAGAGCCAGTGGCTGGTCTTCCATTTACAGTGTCACTATTCCTTGACGGAGCAGTTTTGTGCCGCTCTAGTGAAGGCCCCAGCTGGCGATGCTCGGCCTAATTGTACAGCGTCAAGATGGCAACTCATGCAGTGCCCTAGGTGTGGCTGCGTGGTCTGGTATACATGCTGCAAAATTCGCCCGATTCCCCTTCATTTTAATTTTTCTAACCTAGAGCTTAATTTCAATAATAACTTTTACAACACTTCTAAATTTTTATTTTGGCACAAGCGTAAAGACAAATAATATCCTCTCCCATTATTTTCATAAGTAACATAGATTCCCTGATTTTTAAAACTAAAAATACCTCTAAACCTTTCTTATGTATAAAGTACCCCTATAAAATACAGGGAGAGGTGGGTAATAAACGTCCTGTGATGGCAGTGTTTGGAATTTCTTTATGGATGAAAGTGGATCATGAACAAGACCACATCCAGTGTTTTTACTGTGAATGTAAATGGAACAGCAGCCCAAAGCCATTGTGTGTGTGCCCCAGAGGTGCTACCTGTAAACAGGGTCCAACCCCACGTGTGTGTGTTAAGTGTTTGACTCCAACTAAGACCCCCAAACCAATCCTGCATATTCCAAATGCAAGGAGTGCTCAGTCAGGAAAGGTTTTTCTCCTGGTCATGCCAGGTCATTGTTCCCTTTTTCCTGGCTGAGTCACACGGCAAAGAGATGAAGGTGTCTGACGTATGTGGCCAATTTAAGAAAAAACAGCAGATGAGCTTTTCCCCTTTGGCTGCATTCTTAAGGAGAATATTGTAAGGAAGTACAAGGATTCTTTTGTGTTCCTGTTGGTTTGCAAGCCACTGAGAGTATCAGGGTAGAATATATGTCCTGATAATACAGGACACAAAAAAATGAATAGACAAAAGGAAGGATTTCACTTAATGTTGGTGAAGCACTGTGCTGGGCACAGGCTACCCAGAGTAGTATGCAGCTCTCCCCTCAAGGAGCTCACAGTCTAGTGCACTCCCTAGTTGGAAGCCTTAGGAAGCTGAGATAATATATTGTTAGACTGGCAGTTTGTTATGTCCTTCATCTTCCCTCCTGTCATCGTTTCCCTCTTTTTGCCTTTACCTGCTTTACTGATTTCCAGGACCAGGTTCTGGCTCCTTCCTGCCACTCAGAGAAGGCTGGAGGGTGAGCTGTGTGTTTCCACCAGGGCATGGCCAGAAAAAGGTGGCCCTTTTCTCCTTGCCAGGAGCAGAGCAGGTTTTATTGATGCCAAAAGTGAGAATTCTCCAAGGGTTATGCCATGACCAGGATTGGATGCAGATTTTGAGGGGCTTGAAGCTTGAACTATTTGAGAAGTCTTCTTCAAAAAAAAGAATATGAGTATAAAATTAGGTACAGGGCCTTGGAAGGGGCCCTGAGAATTAAACTTCATTAGCTTCTCGGTAAATCCACCTCTGGTTGTAATTGATAACTGATGCTTCCGTATGGGTATCCAAAAAGGTAAACTCAGCAGATCTAAGGCAGATGTGGACTGCGAGTGGCTTGTCTTTAGCATAATTATATGTCTGCAAGTGTATTTAGTTGGCTGGAAGGATGACCTTTAAGATAGCCTCTGTCAGCTAATGTATTTCTGAAGATGAAGCTCAATGACCCAACCGGTTCACTGGTCATGTAAGAAATGAGGACTCCTGGTTCATGGGCCAATCTGGGGTCTCTTGGAGTGGGCAGATTCTGTCACCCATCCACCGCTGTCTGTGGGCTGCACCCCGGGCATACACGGAAGGCCAGAATTGTGGCAGTTACCTGCCTGCGGGCCCAAGGCTTCCCGGGGAAGACCTGTCACTGTTACATTTTCTGGGGTCTGAGCTGCCTCCACAGTTCCCATTAACTTTAGTGAGCCTCACTGCACTTTTCTCCCATGCTGTTTGTGTTTGGAATTTTGTCATTTTTAGCTAAGACCAAATTAATCCTTGGTGCACAAGGTGAGCTTAAAACTTGCCATTGTTTATTTAACAAGCTACCCCTCGTGGAATGTGACCCCTGCCTGCAGGATCTGATTGCCCCTCCCTTTCTATCTCAGTATCATCTGTTGGCATTATTAGGACTGTCAGTGGGATCATGCTGGCATTTACTATCATGTCTTTCATGAACCAAGTTGATTTGGGGTAGAATCACCGTGTAGTTTATTGGCCAAATGGAGACTTTGAAGAGTGAAGGGAGATGGTGTTAATAATTATGCCGGGTCAACAGGCATAAGCTATAACTATCTCAGGCAAACTGGGATATATGGTCACCCAAGTCACGGGTAACCTGATTCTGGGTGGTCATAATTGTGCAGACTGACTGCATATGTGACTGTGTATGTCTTTGTGTGGGTTCTCTGTTAAGCGCAGCTCATATTACTGGATAAAAGGCCCAAGGGAAGCGTGGCTTGCTAGTCTGTTACGTTAACATGCTTTTCTAAAACTGCTTCACTTGTTAATTCATTTACTCCTTCATTCATTGACTGTTTTTGTTCCTTTCCATTCACTTTGTACTCATTTTTTTCATTAAATTTTGCATTTATTTTGAGTTTTTGTGGTGTCTTTTTTGGGCAGTGGCTTTTCTGATTTAATGTTTTCTAGCCTATTAATCTGCTACAGCTGTGGTAAAATACAGCTTGTCTTTTCTGTGAACTTTGTGGGGTTGATCAGTTTCTATAGGAGTTATGTTTTAATAATGAATCCTGCCATGGGCATCTGTGTAAGGCTCTTGACTGGGTGTGGGATGGAGGAAAGATAGGAAAGAGAAGATGCAGCCTGTGGTCAATGAATCTTTATCAGGCAACTTGATGAAGCAGGACATGAGAGAAGGCAGCCCCTGCCCTTGAAGAGTTTACATTCTTGAGGAGGAGGCTCGACTTGGGACAACTAGCATTTGACTTCTTATTGTGTGCCAGTCATTCCTCTAAAGTGCGTTACATGTATTAATTCCTCTAACCTTCATAATAATCCTATGATTAGGTATCATTTTCCCATTTTATAGGCAAGGCACAGAGAGGTTAATTACCCAGGGTCACACAGCTCCTAGCTGGAGGAACTGGGGTTTGAATATTGGTCTTCTGTACCCTTCATTCCTCAGCTATAGCTGCTCCTTGGCCATCTGATGGAATGACAGAAGAACAGTGAAAATGTAGCCACTATTAAAGTGTGCGGTTTGACAGTGTAGGTTGGTGAACCTGAGATAGTTTTGTAGAGGTGGGATGTCCTCCTAAGTAGGCAAACGAGGAAGGGCAGACTGGTGGTTGAAGGAAGCAGTGGCGATCTGCTGGGTTAATCTGTTGAGGAGCTTCCTCTGTTGGACAGTCGGCTCATCTCTGGGAGATCAAAATGAGGAGATGGGGGCCTCAGGTTGGGGAGCCAACAGCCCAGCAGGGAGTCTGGCATGCAGGCACCCCTCATGAAGGACAGCACAGCTCTCCCCAGGGGGAGGCAAGTAGCAGGGAGGCAAAGTCTTCACCAAGCTTTGAAGGACGGAGACGCTCCAGGAAGCCAGGGAGAGTAGGGTCACAGTAGTGGAGGGAACAACATTGTACTTGTTCACCCAATTATGGGAAGTAATATTTGGACACGTTTAAGAAAGGACTATGATGCTCATCTCTCTGCTCTTCCCTTAGCCCATCTGCCTCTGAGCTCTCTCCTATCTCCCTTTTCTGCGGCCACAGTCCTTCACCAATCTCTGCCCTCTGCAGGTGGGGACAAAAGGAAGATGGTTTGTGTCCATATTTCTTCCACCGCAATGATCAGCAGTCTGATTTGAGATGGGATAGGAGTCCCTAAACTTCAGGGAGAAAAATGTTAGAAGGGAATAGGATGGGACCTAGGACCCCAAGGCAAGCTTGAACAGTGTAAAAACTTAAAAAAGAAAGAAAGAGAGAGAGAAAGAGAGGGAGGAAGGAAGGAAGGAAGAAAGAAAGATTGATTCTCCCAAGTGTTTTACTTTGGCTATACAAAAGTTTGCTTCCCCAAAGAAGAGGAATGTTTACAGAAAGATGAAGCAACAAGGCTGTCCCTTACCTACGTCCATGCTGCGGCTCACAGGTACACCTACTCCTTTCTCCAAGAGATTGAGAGTTGGCTTAGCTCTGAGGATGCAGCTTACAACCAGAGCTACTTGGTTAAGGAATCTGAGTACCTCTCAGCAGTTCCCTGAAGTCAGAGACAGCGCGAGCTGGTGTGGGCCCTCAGGATGAGCCCCCACCCTACCAACGACAGCACCCACTCACAGTGGAAGGAAAGAGGCAGAGGGCAGTCATGGCCACTGGCAGGAGCTGTGGCCAAGAGCAGCATGCTGCCCCCAGAATCTTCATCTGTGCTGGGCTAGAGGACAGTTACTGAAAGGACCCAGGAGATTGTATTTCAAGTGTATTTAACTCTATCAAGTCTAAATACATGGTATCCAATAGATGTAAAATGAGATTCAGACAGGGTTGAAAGGGATTAAGGTGTATTTTAACAAAAGCTCCAACAAGCAAATTTGTTTCAACAAATGACAGAGATTTGTGCTACATACAACACTATTATAGTATATCTGGTTCTTGATTATTTTGTGCCTAGTGGCAGATCACACTCCCCGTGGCTTAGCACGTTTACAAAAAAAACTGTTCACAGTGAAAGGACTTCACAAATCACCTCTAAATGTGTGGCTCAGCCATTCATACCCCCACCACTACTTACACAGCCCCAGCTGGCAGAGATGCCAGCTGGACTCCACTGCCTAGAGAATGGCTCTATAGTGTCACAGCTTCCGAGGGGCAGCTGGCTCCTCCCTCACAGCCACGCTAGTCATCTCTTCCTCCTTCTGACAGCACAGTGTTTGGAGCAGGCTTAGCCTCAGAACTAGCCCATCTCAACTAAAAGCTCTAGGAGCTGTGCCTTCCCATCACAAGGGTCACCTTGAAATGTCATTCTTTAACACAGACATTCCTCTAGTTAAGCTAAGAAACTACTTTGCTTGAGAGTAACAAAGGAGAAATGTGCCTAAAGCTTGACCAAATACTGTACATTAAACAAAGCATACTTTATTGAGTCCTTATAAAGCAAAGATATAAATCATGGCCAAGTCAGGGTAAACGTATCTGGAGAGACGGCCCCCTTTTGCAGGGGCAGGCAGGGTACTTGGGACTTGAAGTGCTGCACATGTTCCTGGTATGAGCCTGGGAAGCTGGGAGAACCTGGCCAGCTCTGGCAGGTGGAACAGTGAGAACTTGCCTGTCAGCACCAGCAAGGCTGACCCCTGGCCTCGTACTCCAGCTGTCTGATGAGCTAATCCAGCCCTTGATGGAGAAGGAAGAAAAACCAAGCTGCAGTATGAGCACTTACTCCTTCTCCCTGGTCTCAGGCCCAGGGTTGTGAGGGAGGCAGGGTTTTGATATGTCAGGACTACCCTTCCCTTTAGGGACCCCAACCTGTCTTTTTCCCCCCTCATTTTCTTCTAAAGACTCAGGAACATTTTCTCAGTTGCTCTTTCTGGGCTTTCTTCCTTTCTTGTTATAGGATCCATAAAGCCTAGACTAGAGAGGAGTCCAACCAAGAAGGGATCACCATTATGCTCCAAAGGGCATTGGGGTACGGACACAGAGGCTGGCAGGTGAAACAGAAAGTGCAGGAGGATGACTCAGAACTTGCCAGCTGCTGCTTTACTAGTTTCTTGCAGCGGTTCAGCTGCCTAATACTGACCTGTAATTAAAACAGAACAGTGGTCCTTGAGGAGATCCATTCTACATTCTGAAGAATGAGTAACTGAGTGACAAAATGTTACCATGGAGCAATTCAGGAAGATCCAACCACCCAACTTAATAACATTAACACCACCATCTCAGGGACCTCCCTCTTCAACCTCAGTAAAACTGCTGTTAGTCTAACTGCATTCCATCTTACCCTGTCCATCCTGAGCGATTCTGACCTCCCAGTGTCTACCTCATGGTACCCCAGTGCCTGGTACCAGATCGAGCGTCAGGGGTCTGAAATTTACATTCCCCAATATTACCCCCAGGGTTGCTTCCTCCTGAGCTAGACATGTCCCTGCATCCTCTTGCCTACAAGGACTGCCACTGAGATAAAGCTTCTCTCACTGTCAGAGAAACCCACTCCAACTGGTCTGGTGAAGGTAATCTGTGTCTCATACCCAAGCCCAGACAGCGTGCCATGTGTGGAAAGCCTAGCCCCGAGGAAGACTCTGTTCAGAGTCATGATGGCCAGACCATCCTCTGGAGCCCACAAGGGCAAAGAAGGGCCATGGGTGCCCTTTTGGGGTCAGAGTGCATCAGCTAAAGGGGCAAAACTGAGAGCCTGGTCAAGGGCAAAGTTGATTTCTACCTGTGCTTTCTTTAGCAGATCAGATATAGGAGTACAGCAGTCGGGCATGAGCCTCTCCAACTCTAAGGTGATGATGACCAAGGCCAGTGTGGAGCCCTTGAACTGCAGCAGCTGGTGGCCCGCCATACAGTGCTGCAGCTGCCTGGTCAGGGACGCGACGTGGAGGGAAGGATTCCTCTGAGGCAGCAGCTCCTTCACATGGGGCCAGCCCAGGACCACCAGGCCGTGGAACTGGAGACCGTGGTTTTTAACGTTAGAACAGAAAACCCCCTACTTTTCATTTATCAATGACCAAAAGTGCAAACAATTTAAAAATTTCCATCAGGGAACATCAAATGTTGTCCAGCCCTTTTCATTTCCATTCATGCCCCCACAAGGGGCTTGAGTCATGGCCTCACAAGGGGCTTAAAGCTTAATACCCACTCTGTGGCCAAGCTCAGTTTCAACCCTGGAGAGAAAAAGACAGTTTGTTTTGTAACATGGTCATTATGAGCCTAAAGTGCCCAGATGACAATGTTTCAATTCTGAAAAATAGAAGCCTACGATTCAAGATTAAGGTAGCAGAAGAGTTACTTGTATCTGCTGGACATGAAAAGAAACTCTGCAACTTGGCAACAGTGACTAGTTTTCATGATACAGCCCTCAGTGATTTAATCTTCATGCTTCATAACAGACCAAAACCCCATGACATTTCCACATTGCATAATTTTGCCTTACTAACAGAATCATACCCTTAAGGATAACCATCATTCTCTAACTAAAACAAATACAAACTAATATGACATTTTTTAAGTGCCAGATCAATATATGGTCTAAAGCCTCAATAAGGATTGTGTGTAGGTGAAGAAAGACAGCTAAGTGAATGTGTGTAAAGTGTAGCAAAAGCAGACAGATTTTTATGTACAGTATTCATAGAATGGAAAGTTACATATTTTTGCAGTGTGTATTTAAAAGAGAAACTCACCATAATAGTGCCGTCTAAAAATCTTTGTAAAGTTAATTTAATGTCCTTTAGAAGTGGGAGTCTGGTGGAACTGTGTTGGATTTAAGATAAAATTTCACTCTTCCGTATGTCGTGAGCCTGTGGGTCACCTCACTGTGATGCATGTGCAAGGATGTGTGCTTTGCCATCCTATGTTGTGAACAGCTGTTCCAAAGGCACAAATGAGTCCAGGGTAGGCTCTGGAAAGTCCTCATACTTACTATGACCAAGAAATCCAGCGGTGTCCCAATATAGTGGTCCCAGTGCAGTTTGTCCAAAATAGCCAGCTCCATCCTCAGCAGCTCATTCGGGGAATAGCCAGAGCCATAGTGCTTTATGAAGTCTTATATGCGTGGAATTAACTGTAAAAAGAAAATAAAGAGGCCAAAGCCCTACTCCATGTCATGGTAGCTTTTGTTTTCTTATCCCTGGGGGGGCTGGGCATCTATGACCCTAGTAGATTTGTCTTCTAGTGACCTGTCACTGAAGCTGCTTCTGAAAGAAAAACCAAACCAGATCTTGGCTATCTGTCAAGTCCCCAGGTACCTGTGACAATATGTAGTGAATGTCACATGGTCACCCTCTGCCAACAGGTCTTGCTCCCCAACTGTACTCCAGCTTATACCCGAAGGTGCCTTGGAGGCTGGGGCTGTGCCGTCTCCCCGATTCAGCTGTAAGAATGCACTCAAAGCTTTCCAGCTGTAGGCTCTACCCATTTCTGTTATCTTTTCCCTTGTCTTTGAGAAGAAGAGTAAGTAAGCCTTTGAGCTTCATGGTCTAAATTAGACAGATTCATTGATAAAACCTCTCATGGTTTTGGCAACACCATAGCTGCAAACACATTCCTTTCAGCCTTTATTTAAGGCAATTCACTTCTGGAAAAACTATGACTTTTTCCCAGGGAGACTAATAAGGCTTGTCTATGAGTAAACATTCAAGTACCAAGTGCTTTGAAGGCTTGGTCCTACTTTTTTAGATAAAGTATTACTATAACCTCTAGAAATATTTCTTTCAAGGACTATTTTCTTGACTTTTAATTGGACAAAAGTATCTTGTGGGACAGAAATTATACTCTAATAAACAGGGTTAAAATATTTTTTATTGACTGTTTGGAACTGCACACATAAGCAACTTTTTCAGGCACCCTTGGTTCCTGAGATCAGCCGAGGGAGTCCTTGTAGAAATGGCGGTGGTTCCACTATCCTGAAAGGGGAAGAGGTTGGAGGGATGGAGGAAGGGAGGTGTGGGAAGGATATTGGAAAAGAATCTTATACTAAACAGAAGCCCTAGTGCAACTGAGAAGTTCAAGCGAGCCTGAAGTACTTATGGGGGCTTCTCTTCCACCTGCTGCACATGGCCCTCATGCCCATTTTGGAGAATGGTCCCAGAGTCCCTGAAGACCAGTTTCATTGATATAGCCAAGTCCTTAAGTCTCAAGCAACTTTCTTAGATGTAGTTTCTGGGGGGGCCATATGGTTTGGAAGGCCTTTTCCTCTGCTTAGTGGGAGGTGGCATCTGGCATCAACCAATGAAACAACATATCATATCTGCCAGGATGTCAGGCCTCTGGCTTTGCTGGGCCAAGACCATTCAGCTGTGCTAATTCCTCATTTATGGGGTCCCAGATTCTGGCAGTTCTTAGGAAGGAACAGCAGAGATCCTGGATAGGTAATGAGTTTTCCAAAATGCCCATTCCCAAGAGCTCAGACCTTTCAGGAAACTTGAGTGCTCCCAGTGTTACACACCCTGATACTTCGAAAGCAGCTGAGAATGAACTTCCAGGGATGCATACCTCCTCCTCTTCGTTAACTTTTGCAGCAAGTCTTAAGGAAGTAATTGTGACACAATGGAGTAAATGCTTTTTTATCTGCAGTATGGAAGAAACACATTCAAGCAGAATATGAATGCCAGAAACTAACTATAAAGCATCTGTGTTTTTTTTAAGAACTTAAGTTTTTTCTTTTTAAATTTTTTAAAAAGACTGATTATATTTATCTATAAGAAAGTTAGTCCCAGTTTTAGATGTGACCAGTGATAACTTGGTTTCAGAACCACAGATAACTGACTAGTCTAGTCCTCTGTGGGAGGACTGACTGAAGGTGGGAAATATGGCACTATCTCAGGCAACACACAGCTCCATCCTGGCCTTTCGCTGCACTGGACCAGTCCAGACAAGCACACCCCACCTCATCACATGGGGAGTCCTTTCCCAACTGTATCTTCTCATGCTCCCCAGATGGACCCCTGTCAGCCGCACAACACTGAGCCAGACAGGCACAGTGGTAGGACATGGAGAGGCTGCAATTCCAGTTCTACCACTTGGAGCTATTTACATCGTTTATGAGCCTCAGTTTGAAAATCTGGGATGGCTCACTTGTCAGGCAGCAATGGGAAACAGAGGTCAATTTCTGCGCCCAACATCTGTCACCATCCATCAGAGATCTCCCTACCTTGACTGAAACCATGAGGCGACTGAAGATACTAAGAGCCAGGTTAAAAGTGGTCTGGGAGAAGTCAAAGATGTTCTCAATTCTCAGGAGCCATAACATGACTTCCTGGAAGGCGTCGCAGATCTCCACTTGCTGAAAAGAAGAGGTCGGGGAGGGCAGGGAGGGTCTCTGGTGGCTGGACTTGGTGCACCAGGGGCTCGACCCCCTGCTTAATGTGCCCAGAGGAGCTGTGAGAAGCGCCTTCGCCTTAAATCGCGGTCGGATAAAGTGCCTCTCTTGTCTAGCAGCTCCCTCAATTCAGACCCTTCTTCCCGCACCCATTGTTTTGGTCCTAAGCAAAGTTCCCCAATTCAAACAAGCCCTCGTCACAAGCACCTACTAGAGAAGTACCGTTTCAGTGAGAATCCCGGAGAGTGCCGCCTCTTGTCTCGTGCAGGGGACGCACCTGGGGAAGGTGCTGACTCCAGGGTGCGGCTCACCTGAGCCAGGGTGCAGGCGGAACCCGGCCGCGTCCGGTGCGC